TTCTTAACAAGCCATTTGGACTCATTTCTAAAGGCAAGTAAAAAAGTCACTATTTCTGTATTTTTTATATTTTTCTTATTAAATCACTAATTTAATTAATTTTTATTCAATCACTAATTTAGTTTGGTCTGACCAAACTAAAATCCCTTCTCATACATACAACTTTCTGTAGGGGATTCAAATATTCCCGTAGACCTTTGAAGACAATTACTATGAACATTCTAAGATTTGCTTTGCTAACTTGCAGTTTGATTCTTCCACCTGCTAATTGTCTCCTATATCAGTCAAGTATAATGGATAGGTTATTTTACTGGTAGTTTAAAAATTAGAGAAAAAACTTGAAGTCTTTTTTTTTGTAAGATTGTTGTAATTCTTTTTTGTTATTTCTTTTAAAGAAGTCTCCAGATATCTAACAACTTCTGCAAATTGTATTCATGCTACATAATTATTACTGAATAAACAACACATTTATAAATTCATTGATTGGCATTATATTAGATTGAAAATTTACCTGCATTTTTATTTTAGATTCCTATTTATAAATACATTTTTGCATCATTCTTCCAGTAGATTCAAAATGCTCTACAAATATCCTAACAATCCTGACAACAATGAAATATTGTGTTATTAAGAGTGTTAGCTGGATGCTGATGGCTCATGCCTGTATCCTAGCTACTCAGGAGGCTGAGATCTGAGGATTGCAATTCAAAGCCAGCCCAGGTAGGAAAGCCTGTGAGTCTCTTATCTCCAATTAACCACCAAAAAAACAGAAGTGGCATTGTGGCTGAAAGTGTTAGAGTGCTAGCCTTGAGCAAAAGAGCTCAATGACAGTGACCTGAGTTCAAGTCCCATGACCACCACCACCAACAACAGAGTATTAACAGAGTGAATTACTGTAGTAGAGTATATTAATCCTAAACTCTAGAACATAAAATTCAAACATCTCTTTCAGATATCTATTTAATTATATGATCATGAATAATGATGGGCTTGTTAAATGTACTTTTGCACATTATATCATTTTTAAAAATTATTTTTTCACTTATATTCTAATACAAAGCAATAAGTAAAAGAGTCTTACATAGGCTAGCTTGTTAAAGTCTATTTTGACATATGTAGAAGAAAATATATTGAGAAAGAGTAATAAAGAAAATATGTTTAAAAAAACTATCTTAAAATTACATTTTTCTTGGAGTTCATGTTTTTATATTTAAAGTGCTTTTTACATATATTACATAATCAAAAATGTTCCTTTGGATGATACAATGGCTACACTGCTAAGGCTGCCAAATGCCTGAGTGGTACACTTGGAAAACAATGAACAACATAAATATTACAAATACTCTAAATTACAGAGATTGAGTAATGAAAACTGTCTTCTATGTAAAAGAAACATTTCAGGGAGCAACTGAAACAGTTTAATGAGCATCTAAAGCTCCCTCTAAAGGGGCTGGAAACCTTGACTTAAAATGTGCCAGGGCTCTGATCTCTAGTATTTACCCCATCCCTTCAAAGGTACAAAGATACAATTGACTTTGAAATTTAAATGACTTTCCTTAAGAAAGACTTAGAAGACAATTGTACTTAAACCAAGTTCTCATAAAACATGCAATGGTAGCCCTGGCAAAATTAAAAGTATGTAGTACCTGTGTTTGTAACTATCAAGAGGAATGACAACTCAAAAATTTCCCAAGAATAACTAAACCCTGTAAGATTATTAAGACTTGTTTTCTTGTTTTTTTCTTCTTTTTTTGGCCAGACTTTTCCCTGCCTTAAACCAGGAGCTCTAGCTTTCTAATAGCGGAGATTATAGGCATAATCACCATGCTCAGCCTAAGATTTGCTTTCAATGTCTTAGACTTGCAGCCTAATACTAACTGCAGGCTATAATAATTAAGAGAGAAGGTTTAGTAGAATACTGTGCTTTAGGGCAGAGTTGAAGCTGAATTCTAATATCAGTCTCAGCATATGGAAAAAAACCCCCATGTATGTATAAAGAACTTATATATACATATCATTAATAAGAAAGGCAGAGCCAGGCACTGAGGCTGAGATCTGAGGATTGCACTTTGAAGTCAGCCCAAGCTGGAAAGTCCATGAGACGCTTATTTCCTATAAACTACTCAAAAAAAAAAAAGCCAGAAGTGGTGCTGTGGCTCAAGTGGTAGAGCTTGCTTTGAGCAAAAAGAAGTTCAGGCATAGCGCCCAGGCCCAGAGTTCAAGCCCCAGGCCCAGCAAAAAAGGCACTGGGTTAGAGGCACGGCTCAAGCAGTAGAGCACCTGCTTAGGAAGTATAAGGCCCCGAGTTTATGCTTGGTATGCACCTGCACAAAAGAGGAGAGGAAGGAGGGGAGAAGAGAGAAGGAAGGAAATAATTAAATAGAAGTATCATAACACAGGATTCAATAGCAAGAAACAAAAGATTGAGGGAGCCTTCAGTCCAAAAGTGGCAAAAGTAATGTCATTTTTTTAACTGACTTGTGACAGTGGAAAGAACTTCCTGTGTCTAATAATAATCCATTTTGTTATAAATACCCTCAAAGAAACATTTTTTTTTTTTTTTTGGGTCCAGTCGTGGGGCCTGAACTCTGGGCCTGGGCGCTGTCCCTCAGCTCTTCAGCTCAAGGCTAGTGCTCTACCACT